TATTAATCACATACAGGTAGGGCTGAGCATTTCGAATCGAATATTCGAATCGAATAGTAAATTATTCGAATCGGTTCAGAGCAAAATTTCGAATCGCCGCCATCTTGTTTTTTTCTTACCCCCAATGGTCGACGTGAATACCTTAATTTTTTTTTATTGATTTTTTCAACGCAATTCTTACATATGACTATTTTCTGTAGTGAGTTATTGATATAACATGTTTCCTATTGTTTGTAGGCGCTTAGCAATCTGTCTGAGTGATGTATTCTACGTTTTCAGTAATTCATTCGTTGTAAGGAACAATTACAATAAAAAAATCGCATACAATTCTATATCTTCCAAGTATTCGAGATTTGATTCGAAAAAAATATTCGATTCGATTTTGAAATCATCAGGTACCGTATTCGAAAATGCCCAGCCCTACATACAGGCTGTTCAAACAATTTAGCCCGATTCAAAGAGTACTGTAATAACAATTTTGGGTTTAAATGCATTTTATTGTATGATAAATGAGAACTACAAAAACTGCAATTGTTTTTTTTTATAAAATCGGGGGAAATTTTGCCTTGTGTTCGCGACAGAATTTTATTATCGACAAAATTAACATATGCGTTGGTATACCGACTCATGCATTGCTTTGTTTCATAGTTTGCAATGTGACGAACACATGCTTTTGTTGATTACCGACTGCGTAGATTACATGGACTTCCTTGCAGTACTATAGGGTGTCCATAAAGTTTTAAAATTGCGCAAAGGGAATTTATCGATTGCTAATAATTTGATTACTGCAAGACTAACTACTTATCCTTCTTCTATGCTTTTGTGTCGGCGGATCCGTATGCGTATAATGCAAGGATACTGTAGCAAGAGTAAAGATAACTATCCTAAGTGATTTAAGAGTCTTGCTGCACACTAGCACAAATATATTTCTGTGACGTTTCGTCTGACCAAGGTCAGACTTCTTCAGACATACATGGTTCAATAACTATGTATGTATGGAACTATGTATGTATGAAGAAGTCTGACCTTGGTCAAACGTTACAGAAATATATTTGTGTTAGTGTGCAGCAAGACTCTTAAATCACTTAGGAATCTATCGATACTATATATTGTTTTGAACCTCACATGAAGTAAAAATACTCAAACAATTACTGATTAAAAGTTAAGATATATTGAGAACTGAATTCATAACAAAATTGAATTTTTAAAGAGTCTTTATGGACACCCTGTATATTATAATAATGACAGCGACAGCACTGTGAACTATTAAACTTCCCGTGTTCTGACTAGACTCACATCAATTGCCTTTTCCACATGTAAGCTTTTTATCAGTAGCAATGTATAAAGTATAAAACCATTGGTGAACGGAAAATAGCGTATTAATGAAATCATAATAATCAATTTGGTAACACACTGTCCTGTTTTTATAGAGATATCGTCATTTGAATAGTCCAAATGTTCTTATTATTTTATTGCAGGGCGATATGAATCGCACGGGATTTACTCTGGCAAGAAATAGTGGTTCTCAACCTTTTTTTTTCGTTGCCCACTTCTGTTGCACGTAAAAATGCTGTGACCTATAAGCTTACTTACTTATCTGATCAAGACAAAGACGTGCGACTTGAAGTCAAAATATTGGTGTGGAAGATATCCGAGGTTCTACCGGGCATATAGCTAATTGAAACCTTCGCAATAACTCGTCTATAGAGCACCTTACTAAAGTTTAGGAGATCTGAGTATTTGGCTCAATGTGCCATATAGTGCCTCAGGTCTATATCGGAAGATATAACCCATTTTTTTGGCAAATTTCAACAAATATGGTAGTGTCAAAAATGGCGGACCACATATTTCCCATATGATATTTATAGTATGTAGCACTGATTTTTCAGTATGTTTTGTTTTTCTGAATTGCTTGTCAGGCTAATGGTTGTTTTATCCGGTCAGGGATAGATGGGAAATGTAAGTAAAAATCAGATGAAAGATTTGTATGCAGACATTTTTCATATTATAATTGTTCTGTTGTGCAAATTGCCTCAAAGCGCAACGATGGCGAAGTTGAATTGGTTCAAGTGTGCAGAAAATTTTGTTATGAACCCAAAAATAATGTTTGAACAGTTTTACTGGTGGCGAGACTTACTTGTTTGCAAATGCTCATTATGTGCTCGGATAATATGGGAACATAGTTGGGAATATGAATATAATAGGCTTAATAATTATTGTATATATACTTTATGAAAAAGAGGCGTTAATGAGTATTAAAATATTCACGGGAGCTGAGCGTTTCAGTAATAAAATTCGCAATAAACCGCACCCCCTACGCACCTCTGAAAACTTTTCTATTTAGCTTCGCAATTTTTAATGATTTGATGAAAGAAGTTGTAACGTCACATATTACGTAAAATTCCATTAAAGGTGAAATCGCTCAACAAGTTTGCGTCCGCCCCCAGCACACCCCCTATAAACATGGCCCGATTTCCGTGTTTGATAATGTTCATTACGTGTATCTATGGATTATAATGATTAGGAATAAGGATAAAAATAGTTTTTATAATTAATAATCATATGCTAATATTTGAAACAATAGTCAATGAGTAATAATATATCACTTCCCATCAGCTTTGCAACTATTAACGATTGGACGAAAACGTTGCAATGCAATTATTGCAGAGAATTACAACAATTGTGAATGGAATTTACAGACTCGCCTTCATTAATTACATTTGCAATACACCGCTCCCCCCACACACCTCCTAAAAGAATTCAGCTAGCTTTGCACCTTTTAAATATTTGATGAAAAAACTTGTAACGTCAACTATTGTGGGAACTTCCATTAAAACGTGAAATCGTTTAAAAAGTTTGCGTCCGTCCCCCATCACATCCCCTATATAGATGGTTCGATTTCCGTGTTGGATAATTTTCATTACGTGTATGGATTATAATAATTCGGAATATGGATAAAAATAGTTTTATAATAATAAATATATACTAATATTCAAAACAGTCATCAACGAGTAATAATATATCACGGAAGCTGAGCGCTTTATCTAATACATTTTCAATGGCTCCATTACATTTGAACCCATGACAATTGTACCTGTATGCTATTGCACCTTTTTTTGTTTCACGGATAGTTAAACCCATACTAACCCTAACCCATGGGTTTTAGCACCCGCATATAGATTGAACCCGTGGATATACGCATGGGTTCAAATGTACGGTCACCATTTTCAATATACCACCCCCTTACACTTCTCGCAATTTTTGAACATTCAAATCTGTATCAATCATGAAATCGTTTTACAGGCTTGCCTTCCCCCAGCACACCCCTTTGTAAATTGCAATGTCATTCTGTGCTCATGTTTTTTGTTCGTCGTTCCTCGTTTAGCAATTTCTGTTAACGAGATTATTTCCACGCTATATGGCCAAACAAGGCTTTGTACAATCGGCCACTATATTTCAAGAATCGGGATTTTTTTGTGCCGATCGATATAGAAATATTTATTAAAATGGTACCGGAAATATTTATCTTTGATAAGTTACAAATCACTGAACACCATCTCATCCATCGCTTGGTGCAGTAGTTATGGCTTCTAATAGACGTTTTTATTACGAGCAGGACTCCGGGAATTCACATTTTACTTCAAAATCGAAAAAATTCGACCCAGCTTTCCCGGTGAGACATTTTTGTCTTCGGTTCTCAATTCTAATTTCTACTGCTGCTCCAACATCGAACCCCGATAAAATCAAATTCATAAAAACAAAAGAAGCTTGGCGTATGTGAGCTTTCCTATATACTTTGAAAGTCACTCGGCCAACTGAATTTCTTTCTTCGAGTTCATGTAGAAAGTTTGGCAGGCTTGTCCATGAGACATATTTTTCTGCCCCATAGCAGTTATGCCTGTCCCACCCCATCCCATCGGATTCCCAATGGAATAAAATTCAATAAAAATTGTTAAATTTAGGTTCAGCGTCTACTAAATAGGACTACATGTACGAAGAGACATGCGAAACAAAAAAATTTACGGACTTTGTTAACTTCAGGGGAAGGTGGGGCACGGGGCACAGTGGAAAATCAGCTCTCACACTAATACTATATTCGGAATCCGGTTCGCGGTTTGATGTTTCAATCCGCCCTTCGGTGAGTTACAACGTCCCCGCAAACGGACATCGGACGGGTAAGCGACGCAATCTACGAGGTGAAATTGGTTTTGGGGGGTTGAAAATGAAATTTCACCGTTCCAGTTTTTTCTTTTTTCTAACTTAGCCTTTTCAACGTGACAAACCACCGTCTGATATCTTTCAGCTATAGTCCACTGTTAAATATTTATAACGTTGGCGAGTGGATGTTCCTTCCGAATTTCGCCGTGGGATAATCTGAAGATATTTGTTGATTATGGGGAACAATGGACCGGGGTTCAGTGGGACATGCCCTACATGGCACAATTCGACAGTGTTTGATACAAGTGCTTAGAGACCTATAGATGCGTTATATTTTCATGTAACATTATGGTATCTTTCGACTCATGGTCCAATATGAAATATATTCGAGAATCACGAAATCCATAACGAAATGTTTTACCATCATTTCCCCGGGAATTAAACGGTTTTTGTGTCCCACATGTCCCATGGAAAATACAAATGTGTGCTGTCCCATCCCATTCCCATGGACAAGCCTGAAGTTTGGACTTCGATCATCACCAGAGAAAAAAATCCTGAATATGGAGGCAAAGACAAAGTTTGAAACTATGCCATATTCAGACTCCGCAGCGCGTCTTGTCTCGAGGGATTTTATCCATAGGTGTGAAACATGGGATGTCCAAATACAGCGCTTTCATCTCTGGGCGATCGCACCCAAAATATATGCAGTTCATTAACCGAGCGAAAAATGAGAGAAAACTTCTTTCAAAAGACGAATAGAAGAAAAGCTGAACATATAAAATCGGCTGAAGAACTGGTCTCGCTGAGCACTGGCCCATATCGTCATTTTTTAAATTTCTCGATTTCATAATTATAAAGAAAGTATATTACTATTATGTAAAAAAATTAGGTACTGGAAATTTCTCTGTGTAGATATCAAAAGAAAGAGTAGCGACCACGAATAAGATATGAAAGGGAAGAAGACTCGTCATATGATGCAATGACGTGTGTGGAACACTAAAGTTAAATTCAATTTACCTGCAAATATTTTCCTATACATAATCAATTATATTTGGTGAAATTACGAGTTACCGATTGGACTGGGCATTTTCGAATAGTTGACGATTCCAGAATCGACTCGAATGTGTTTTTTTTCGAATCGTATCTCCAATACTTCGAAGGTTTGTAATTGTATGTGATTTTTTATTTTTATGGGTCTCCCAACCACATAAATTACCGAAAACATAGAATCCATCACTCAGTCAGTTCTCTTAGTTGTCACATACAATAATAAACACATTTTAGAAAGGTAAGGGTCGTATGCGTCGGAAATGAATTTTAAAAATATGGCTCCAATGAAAAAAAATGCGAGATTCATCTCGTCCTTTGGCGGACGAAACAATTCCAAATTTTTGTGTGAACCGATTCGAATAATTTACTGTTCGATTCGAAATGCCCAGCCCTAGTTACTGAGTGCTCAATTGTGTATTGAAAAATGAGAGTGCGTTCTCAATAGACTCTATCCGCATGCGATTCAGAAATTTTTTGACTCCTTGCAATTACCACCGTCTGCAATAAAATTTTGGCGCTTGAGTAATATGTGCACCAAGATGGCGCACAACCTGAACATAGTATGTGTACCAGGTTAGGGTTATCAGGTTGTGCGCCATCTTGGTGACATACTACTCGAGCGCCAAAATTTCTTCATTTGTGTATCTGTGTCGCTCATGAATACATCAACCCTTCTTCGGAATCATTATCCATTTTCTTCTCAACGTCTATATGGCTCCCTAAGCGAGGTTGGCTTGCTTCAACCCAGCGCTGAAAAACAAAATACATAAAATGTATTACGAATTAATCCCAGGGCCCGAAAGTTTTACCTACGAATCCAAGGATCTATTATTAACCTTGCTACACTTTAAAAATCATTTGGCATTTTAGCATTAAGTTTGGGTTTTTTAATTTTATTTTAGTAATTAAATGACAATAAAACCACTGGGTTCCGCTACACCAAAACGGTTGGAAACCACTGGCCTATATTATCTTGGTCCAAAGGTTGTCGGCTCCGCGGGCCTCAAAATTATTTTTGCATTGTTTGCGGGCCACAATAGTGCCAAGAATAGGTAAACAGTGCAATACAAAACAAACACCTTTATTGTGCAAACACATAGTTATCAGGCATAGCCATTCCAGGCCAATAGAATACGCATTCGATTTTTAGTTTTCTATGATGCCCATATTGTTAGCATATATTCCCGAGCAAAAAGTTGGAAAGCCAGATAACAATTTAGACTGCCAAGCATATCATTCAACTTCGCTAGTTCCCCAGATGACCATTATTTAATTCAGTGACATTAGTGATGACAATATGTCAAAAGATTTTTCTGATTAATTTTATGACGAAACAACACGAAATGCGATTTTTTGATTACTCTCCGAATGTGACGCGGGTCACAGATAATGAAGTGGCGGGCCACATATGGCCCGCGGGCCTGGGTTTGGACCACCTTGATCTATATAATTAAATTATATTGATTAAATATAATGAAATACCTATCACAGGGTGGTCCGAGGTTGTCAGCTCCGCGGGCCACAAAATTATTTTTGCATTGCTCGCGGGCCACAACAGTGCCAAGAATAGGTAAACAGTGCAATTCAAAACAAACACATTTAGTGTGCAAACACATAGTTATCAGACATAGCCATCCAAGGCTAATAGAATCCGCATTAGATTTTTAGTTTTCTATTGTTAGCATATATTCTGGACCAAAAAGGTAGAAAGCCAACTTCGCTAGTTGCCTCAACTAGCCATAACACTAGTCAATTCAGTGACATTAATGATGTAACAATATGTTAGAAGATTTTTCTGATTAATTTTATTACAAAACAACACGAAATGCTATTTTTCGATTACTCTCCGAATGTGACGCGGGCCACAGATAATGAAGCGGCGGGCCACGTGTGGCCCGCGGGCCTGGGTTTGGACCACCTTGATTAGGTTCGTCATTATTATAAATTTGCTAGACCTCAAATATCATTTTATTTTGCCAGTCAGTATCGAGTTGTTTTTATATATATTTATGGCAACGATTCAGGAGGAATATAAGGTTTGTCGAGAGTCTGAAATCAGTGGTAAAATCGGTCCCAAAAATTTTAGTCCGGCCCGACCCAGGCCCGTGGGTATTAAACCCGACCCGAGCCGAGCCTGACTAATTAACTGGATTTGCAGGCCCGAGCCCAAAGCAAATCCGAAATTTTATATTTTATTTAGTAGTTCGTGGAATTGTCATTGCAAGAGTTTAGTACAGTATGTGTCGTGTTGATGAGGCAACTTTTTTTTTGCAGACCACGGTTTCTCGTGGCCAGAACGCCTCATTAAAAACCAAGATGTCGCACAACCTGAATCCTAATCGGTACACACATACCATGTTCAGGTTGTGCGCCATCTTGGTGCGCATACTCTGGAGGTCCAGAATGAGAGATAGAGGAGCCCGACCCGAACGTAATGATTGACATTTCAGGCCTGACCCAGCTCGAATTTCAGGTCGCGTCGGGTTCGCGCTTCAGATCTTAGCTCTATAAGAAATATATCATTGGAGTTTCGATCTACCAAATATGCTAAGAAAGTAGAACCACCTCTTTCAGAGATCCTTTCTTTTGGCAAAGTGTGTATATGAATACTGCTGGAACGCATAGGAACGATGACATGCACATGATCCATCCTATTGCATCAGCCCAAGGAGGATATTTGTAACCTTTTATTGTGAGAGGTTCATATTGAAAAATGTAGAAAACCATGATGCCCTGAATATAAAAAAAAGTCTTTTTAACATATTGGGCACGAAATGCCATTTTAATAAATCTTTGTTAGGATTGTCGTTGCAAAAAATTTCGCCGATTTCAAATTTTGAGTAATTAAATATGAATGGAATGAATAAATTTCGTCCCACACGTATAGGAACTCTTATATCGGAATTGTGCCAAACTTTTCTGCGGCCCAAGGAGATATTCTGATAAAAATGCCCCTCATACTCTAAAACTTTAAAAATAATTTGGGGGAAAAACAAATTATATATGTTGCTATAAATGAGAATAAAAAAATTGAAGGTCAACTCAGTGCCAGCTAAGCAACCAACCACATGAAAAGAAAAACGCGACACTTTGGTCTGCAGCCCGATACAACGTGCTGACTGGGCAGACTGCCTCTGTGGCCCGCTTATAGGTCCCCTCTGCCTTGTACCTACCCCTGGGAGAAGTGGAAAGGGGACAGATTTCTGGGACAAGTTGGGATTGGAAGGACTAAAGCAGACGTTCCAAAATTTATGAGTAAACGTATGAAGTGGGATCCATGCTATGTTTTGGGTTGGAAAAGCCAACAGCAGGGGTGGGCAACCTTCATTACACAAAAGGGCAAGATACAAGTAACTACGTGAAGCCGCGGGCCGCACATTTCTAGTAGTTGCAGGCACAAAAATTGTTCTCCTTTGCATAAATGTTGATTTAAACGCGTATAAATTCGTGGATAAGAAAACTGATATAAAAATTTATAGTCACTCCGACTTCAAACAAATTCAGTTCGAAATACGTTTTTATAGCATGAATTTTGCAACAGAATTTTGGTAGCTAGTTTTGCTAATATGACAGTGGCACTCTTGTATAAGCTTTGCGACGCAGAGAAATTGGAGTAGCTTGGACGTACCAGATTAACTGAATTAAACTAAAAACTCTTTCCGCTGGCCCACCATTCAAAATTAACACTCTTCCGCGGGCCGCACAATTTTTCCTTGCGGGCCGCATTTTGCACACCCCTGGCCTACAGGGTTCCCCTGCCCGGATTCGAATATTGTACCTACCCCTGTAAGAAGCGGAGTGATGACCATCCAGCATATCTTGATAAAAGGAGATGGTTTGAAGCCGATCATCTGCTCGATGTTTTTATAAAAATTATCAATTCCATAGAAATAAGCAATTGCAATGGATTCCATCATTGCTATCCATAATACTGCGATTCCACTTACTGCATAGTTGTTAAATAATTCAAAGACGTAGATACCACCCTAGGTAAAAATAAGAATAATTTAATAAAAATGTATTTATCGAAGGCACAATGAAAAGCGTTTACTTCCATTAAAGAAAAAAAACACCATTTTTTTTTACTGCATGAAACACTTGCTTCGATGGCCTGTCGTTTAGATTAGACATTACAGCTGTCATGGGCAAACTACATGCATGGGAACAATGAGCGGGCAATAATAATGTTTTCGATATTTGGCTTATAATTGTACATAGCTTGCTCTAAATCGAAGAAGAGATGATGAACTGTTACGTGTTGTAAATTGCCTAATGCTTAGTGTTTTTCAACCTTTTTTTTTTATTGTGGTATACCTTTTACAATTTTTCAAGAACTCAATACCTTACGAATACCAATGTTTATTTAAGGCTTAAATAAACATTACATTTTAAGCACATATTGTACTGCAATATCATCATGCAATCTAGTAGGCTATAGTGTACGCAAGTTATAAATTTGACTGACGGCCTTAGCGACAGCGTCAACGGGAATAATGTTCAACGTAAATCAAACGAAGTGCATGGCAGCCGAAATCACCAACCCAGACACGTGCCCGCATTATCTATATAATTTATGATGTAACAATGTGCTCACGTCGGTTCTTTGCGTAACTGGCATGTTATATTTCATGTGCGCCGCGTTTGCATTGTTGTCCTCGGTTGAATGTTTCATAATTTAATATATTATAGTTTAGAATCCCTGACTTAGGCTGTACACCAGGCCTGCACAACATACGGCCCGCGGGCCGCATGCGGCCCGCTAGATACTTCTGTGCGGCCCGCGGGTCATTTGGAAACAAATCTTTGTTATTGTTATTTTTGTTACATTGTTATTTATGCAATGCTCGGTATTCAAACTGAATCACGCTCAAAACAATATCGGTATACAAGCTCCCACACATTAGTGCATATTAGCAACCTATTAATAACCCCACTATTTTTTACTAGCAGTTTATGAAACTGAAGTTTCTTTTTCAAATTTAAAACTTAAAAAACAATTTTTTCATTCATGAATGCTGCAGAAATTGTCGCACAAAATATATTGCTATTTACTGTAAAACTTCAAAAATTTGGAGCAGATTTTGTAGAAAAATGTAATTTAACAGTCGAAAAAGTACAACAGAGGAAGATCTATCGCTACTAAACGGATTGTTTGTCCAGCCTGCAATGAAAATATCTAAAAATGTTAGATATGACTGAATACCTATATGTGGGACGATTTTACAAAACTGAACCTGAGTAAAATATTTTCCTGCAGTCAGTTTATACTGCAACACGCAATACCTCATTCTAATAAAAAAAAATATTGAAAATGAAGGGTCGCTTTCAAGGTAGATGAACCACTAAATACTCAAGAAAATAAGATTCTTCATATTTTTGAGCTTTCCAGTAATGGAAGTTTTTCATCAAATTTAACTGTTTCACAATATTATTTTGATTTGAAGTTCATCTTGTGAAATATGTATGTGGCAAAGTTTGCGGCCCGCCGGGCCTTCAGATTTATGCTTGCGGCCCTCGTGGTAATTTGAGTTGTGCAGGCTTGCTGTACACCATTCGTATACCCTTTTTCAGTTCGGTATACACTTGGGTATGCCGCATACCCGGTTGACGAGCACTGGTCTACTAGTGTCTATTATGCAAACATGCATAATTACTGGGGCCAACAAACGGGCAAATTATATGAACAATTATTTTTTATATGCTTCACGATTTTATATTTCTGATTCTGAATAAGCGAAAAGATTATATGCTACATACTATAAGAACAAATACCTGAAGTTTTTTTCAAGGCAAGGTTACAACGCTCAAACTAAAATCGTATAAAAACACTTATAGCGACCGTAAAAGCGATCCAAGAAACGACTGACGTGATAAGTTTATCTCAAAGCGATTCAGAGGTGGACACGAGACTTGGAAAATATGCGTTAATATTTTGTTTTGGCACGAGGTTTAATATTTTCCACTTTTGCTTTCGTAAATATTGTTGTAAACTGCGTGTCTGAGGAAGCCTGGCTTTGGTCGGACGAAAATTTTCAGAAATACATTTGTGTTGGTGCGCAGCTGGACTCTTTTTTCAGATAGAACTGTAAATATTGTTTATAAAGTAACTTTTACGTCACACTTACAAGGCCCGCCAGTTAAGATAAGCAAGATTTCAGCTGGAGGCCCAAAAACCTTGCACACCCCTTATCTATATGATTACCGCATCGTCGGCTTTTCTTTCCACCGGGCTAGTTCACTAAACGCCGTCAGATACTTCTAGTTGGCGTGGCATGACCATTTTCGCATATGTCAGTCATTACTAACCCTCAACTGACTACGTCATCAAAAAAATTACGTCACAGTGGCAAAATAAGGTCCGTCAATGTATATGGATTGTCGCCAAAAACGTGCTGACGATCACCCGAAATACAAGCAAGTTATTTCTCTCGTTTTCTCGTCGTAACGATCCCGATTTTCTTTGGCAAGCTCTATGATGTGATTGTGATTAATTTTTGAGATGACGCAATCAGGTGGGGGTTAGGAATAACATATGCAAAATGTTTGTGCCACGCCAACGGCAGCAGCGTTTAGTGAACATGCGCCCTTTTCACCTTGATAAATATGAAAATCCTTTCCAATCGTGGTATAAACATAACTAATTCAAGTAACAATGCCTTCCACACTCACCGCTGGTAAAAAGATAAGACCAATAATCATCATAGTTCCACAAATAAAAGTTCGCAATAATTCTTTCGCATTTTTACGAGTGAAAAAAGCAGGCCAATGATCGGTGATAAGGACAATGATGCATTCAACACAGGCGAACTGTAAAACAAAAGCAAAAAATATATCAACAGTAGGGCTGGACATTTCGAATCGAATAGTAAATTATTCGAATCGTTTCAGTCCAAAATTTGGAATCAAGTACTTGAACAATTACTGATTGAAAACAACAAACCTGGTTCGAGAACTGACTTCATAACAAAATTGAAATTGTAAAGGGACTTTATGGACTACCTGTATATAACTTATATTTAAATATCCAGAAAGTAGCATTTATAGCTGTGCAGATAAGATGAATAGGCCAAATGCAAAACACAGATTTAGAAGTCCAATAATTTTTCTATAGATCCAATTTTCTTTTTAATTTCTATCACTTTTGGCGATTCAACACCAAAATAAATGATATTTACCTGCGAGTCGAGTCCTATAATGATCAACATAAAGAAAAACAAAGCATTCCATAAGTGAGGTAGAGGCAGCAAAGATAACGCAGTAGGAAATGTTTGAAAAACAAGTCCCGGACCTAAAAAAATATTATGAAACAATCAAAGATTAATAAAGTAACCACAAAAATAATTCTCTATTTCATCAATAACTGCATAAAAGCCGATAAATGTGCGGTAATAATAACAGTGAGTATTACGGTATTTGAATTATACTTTTGATACTACAAAAAAAAATTTCAAGTCATTCTAAGCAATTATTGAGATTTTTCTATTGAAGTTTCAGTAACTGCTAAATAATAATCAATTTTATTCGAAAGAAGAACAGGGCAACTTTTTTTTTTGCATACTACAACAATTTTATGGCCGCGGTTGTCATATGTGTGCAATATTTTTAATGGAGAAACATAATGTTACATAAAAATTTGTGGTATTGTTATAGAGAAAGATGTCGTTGATATTATCTTAAAAATTTGCTTCATAACCTTGTTTTATCTCTCATTATCAGATTACGCATCCTTGCTGCGTGAGTCATACGGTGCATATTAATGCTAATTTCAGAAACATCAATTAATGTTATATTATGAATTACCGATATCAAAAAGACATTTCCGAAACACCAATTAATCATAGTTGCAATAACAGGCTTATCATAAGCCATTGATATTTATTGGGCCGCAGGCAGGCATCAAAAAGCTGATTTATTTAAATAAAAATTCTAACATATAAGTGTGAATACTACCAACCCGATTCGACGACATCGGAAACGTTTTTATTGGTAACAAAAGCAAGATTTCCCAAAATACTGAAGACGGCGAATCCTGTAATAAACGACGTTCCAGCACAACTTCCAACAAGTAATATACAATGTCTGAATGAAATAGAAAAAGTTATTTCTGAATCCAAAAACAGACCACTTTAGCTTTGTACAACGTCTTGTTTTAAGTTTGTGGTTTCCAAAGTTGCTTGACCGGGATCAAAATTAGGAGCGGGAGGATTTTCGCGGGTTAACAGAGGGGGAAAATACTATCGGAGCGGTTCCATTACATTTGAACCCACGTACATTTGATCCCATGACAATTGCACCTGTATGCTATTGCACCTATGGAATTTTTTTTGTTTCACGGATAGTTAAACTCATACTAACCCTAACCCATGGGTTTTAGCACCCGCATATAGATTGAACCCGTGGATATACGCATGGGTTCAAATGTACGTGGGTTCAAATGTACGGTCACCCAGTGTACGCCAGGACTTTACACTTTGATGAAAAATATTCCACGATGTGGTCTCTTTATAAAAAAAAACTTAAAACAGAAAATCTTTTTTTAACCTGTAGCAGTCCTTGTGGAATTCATTGAAACTTCCCATCGTAATAAGAGCAGCAAACCCAATTGCATAAGAATAACAGACCTGACTTCCAGCTTGGACCCAGACCTGTAGAATAAAGGGAAAATAAAATATCAAATATAACTTGGTATTTATATAAATATAACGCTCCAAATCAACGTATGGTAAGTAGTAACCTACCAGTGGTTCTGCAAGCTTCGTCATATTCGGCTTCAAATAATAATAAATCCCGTCGATGGCTCCAGGTAAAGTGCAACCTCGTATCATGATAACGAGCAAAAGAACGTAAGGAAACGTAGCCGTAAACATCGCGACCTGACATAAAAAATACGAGAATATCGGTCAGAGACCGAAGACTTATCGATCGAAAGTTAGGGGATCCCCCAGAACAGCACTCTTACTCCATAATGACACGTTGTGTCCCATCACTAATTAATTATTAACTCGCTAATTATACGACATAATTCGCCCCCAAAAAATAGGCTTCTGGTCCGACATATGATGAATGCACATGCAAAATCTGGAGAAAATTCAATCTCGCTTTCGTGAGATATCGTGTGCATCTAACAGACAGTCATACAGACAAATACATATCAACATACTTACCGATTAAAATCGATAAGTAATAAGGATGAATTGTCTTGGAATTTAAAATGTGGAAAGATTCGAAGTAAATAGTAGGCTCTTGGTACAAATCAGATATTAGTGGCTGCTAGTATCGGCCCATTTTCGGAGAGAAATACGCGAAGGAGTATCCCACACCCCCAACTCACAGAAAAGAATTTTTCTGGGGGCAAGGGTCCTTCGAAAAACATAGTTTTTAATACACATCGGTTACTGCATGTCCAGTGCCTCGATATAATGTATTTGAAATATGTGATCCATTCAAACCTCAAAACTTAATTTTTTAATCTATTGCCAAGACTCTGACTAAACACAAATACAAAATTATAATGAAAAAACACTCACTTTTCCTGCCGATTTGATTCCCTTTATAATGCACAAATAACAAGTAATCCAGGCTACAGCCAGGCAGATAACCATCATCCAGTTGTCGAGGGTACCGTAGTCTTCTAGCGAGTCTGACTTACGAAGAACATAACGACTGAAAATTGAGAGAAATAATCAATTAGTTGAGGCCGTTCGAATGCTGCATTTGTGTCTGATTGAAGCCTTAGCTGCAATAAAAAAAATAATTTTGAGGTTGTATTATTGGTCGGGAGTTGCCCTCAAGAAATAACGCAAAAAATACAAAATTGAAATTGTTACTGAAAATGAAATGTGAAGTCGTTAAACCCGAATACTACTCGTTTTGAGATTGGACTAATGGTCTGGAGTTTCATTCAGAGAGAAAGTTAAGTGCATAAAATATAAAATTGAAAAAAGATTAACCTAATTAAAAATGCGATAAAAGTAGTTAACCCGAATACTGCCGCCACAATTGGACAGACGTAATTCCATAGAATATTTCGGTTATTTTACTATTTTTATAACAGGCTTTGTCTCGATTTTCGCCTCGAACACGGCTCTGTACAATTACCACTAATGCTGGGTTATAAAACTCAAAATACAGGGCGGTTGCTAGAAAAAAAAGTGAATTTGTCGAAAAGCTATATATTTTTACAAAGAATAATTTTACGAAGTTTCTTTAAAGGCATATGTTATGAAAGACTGATATATGCTTAAAATACCTTCCGCGCACTTCAGAGCAGTATCTTAACCTAGGAGTCCAAGTTCGTGTAGCGTTTAGGTTAACTTGTGGAATATTGTTCAAATTCAACCTATACCTAAACGCATTTTATTCGTGATCTCATCTCACAAATTTACTGCTTTTTTAGCGACTACCCTGTCCAATGCACAATTCCATCATAAAAAAGCTACAACTTACTCCCAGAACTCCGAAATAGGTAAGGTCCTGTTTTCTTCCGACACTGCTTCATAATAACCAAAATCTGTGTTATTCAAGGATGTGTCGCTTGTAAACGTACGATTAGAAATAATTGCATAGTCTGTATTGTTTGTATCAAATTTGAAGGAATATGGCCTGCATTTATCTGTATTCCACCAATTATCTGAGATCAAAAAGAAAAACTCTTAAACATGGAACGATAAAAAACGACTGGTGTGTGGAGTATAAGGACTTTGTTGAAAGATCATTTTGAATTTTGACAAATTCGAAAGATCGCAAAAATACGAATCAAACCTAAAACTATGGTAAATATAATATAATTCACGCATTGTTATGTCCGGAAATTGCCGTGGTATTTTAGATTAGAAATATTTTATTTTGACCCAGGTAAGCGCAACTGCGAGTCACGTTGAAAACAATTGAATTAATATGGCCGGTCATTTTAATTTACGTAACGGATAATCAAACTACGGTAAATATAATATATTCCACGCATTATTTTGTCCGAAGATTGCCCTGCTATGCCCACGAACTCGCCCCGACAAATTTTTAATACTCTACTCACCGCAAGTTGTGAAAGGAAGATCACCAATCGTGAACGAATGAAACAAATAAAAGAATCCCCACGCGATGATAATAATAAAATAGATGCAGGAATATGTCACCAACACGGCACTACCGATGCCTACACCCTGAAAAACAAATTCAATGGAATTATTTTTGCCGAGAATTTGCACGAAGCACGGACACAAGCTCTCACTTAAAACAGTGGTCCTTAACCTTTTTAAGCCGTGCCCCTTTTTCAAAATTCGACAAGTCTCGCGCCTACCTCAAAAATAGCTAGCTAACAAAAAGCTACAAATAACAGATAGTAAGGCGGAAGAAGTATTCAAAAATCACGTTGAAAATACGTGGGTGAAATCGGCACCTCTAAACAAGAAATGTAAATATCTGAAATAGGGCGGGCAGGATCAAATCTAACATTTTTATTTTTAATTAGCTTCAATCCTCCTCAAAAAATTGTCCAAGTCCCCCTTGTGGGGTGCACCATTTGAGGACCACTGCTCGAAAATAAAAACGTAAAATAAATCGAGATTTAAATTAATATAGGAGCAACGGTTCGGGACAGATATACGATATATTCCATCGACGCAGTATAACCTCAATAATCCTAGTCTAGCAAACCAATGTCCAGGAGTAGTTGCTTTCCGACAGGAACAACTAATATACGAGACTAGGGCAGGCAAGTTTCGGCGCGTTTTCACTGTAGTCGTAAACGTATATTTGCAGTCTTCGAATTCGTGAGACGCAATTTTTTCGAGACGCAATTTTTTATTCTCTGTTGTCGGGACTCGGAATTTCAGACTTTACGTGATAATTATTAAGAGTTTAAATTTTCGACATGAACTCAAAAACATTAATCTGACCGAGGAAGTATGACCAACATGATAAAAGGAGGCTGAAAACAAATACATTTGATTAAAATCGCCGGAAATATGATACCACAGCAAGAAATAGACATCGCGGGAAGGGGGGGCGGTTCCAATATTTCAGTCTTGATTTTACAAATGTTTCATATTTAATATGGTCCAAAATGAGAGAATACATAATCTACCGATTATTTATTTAATGAGGTGTTTTGAGTTCAACTAAATAGCAACAAATAAGACGTCATATATAATAAATAAATATAAGTTACGTGATTCTTATTTGTATATGAAATTATTACTGATATTATGGAGATGAAGTATTAGGCTAGCAATCATCCACAGTTCTACCATCAAATTTATAATTCGACAGGCTATATAAATACTAACTTATTTAATCAAATTTGCAAAAGAGGGAAAAATGTTTCGAATAGCCGCAGTACTACCGTCAAATTCTAATTCAATTTATGTGATAACACATTAACTGTAGGATACGACATGCTTTTTAAAAATAACTTTTCGATTTCATCAAATTTTGCGGCCAAAATCTTCCGAATGAAACAAATAATATCCAATGTTGATTATCATACTCCTCCACTTCTAAAATCTTCGGAAACCCGAACAACTCTCTAATAGCGCATGCGTTTTTCACAAGCCGATTTTATTAAATTCGTCGACTGTTTTTTGCAGCGTGACCTGGTTATTTGCGCCGTCAATAACATCCGTTTTATATCGGTAAACTATATTTCCACAATGTCCACAAGTCGACAATTAGTTTATATGCGCAAAAATGTGTGACTAAATAAAAAAGAATCGTTAATATGCGATCATTAACGACAAACACTAAAGATATTTAAGACACTGAATCGCCAAAATTTCGTATGCCGCAGGCATACACGTCTTTGTGAATTACGCAAAAGTCGATGAAGCTGTGCGCCCGATGCAGTTTCTTAAAATACCGTTGGGCCGGATTATGATGTCACAAAAGCTAATCAATGTATAGTATGTTCGATCAATTTTTTATTATACTGGAATAAATCGTACTTTTGGGGGTTATTTTGGAATTCCTGTAACGGCGAGATCTTACAAATAATATCGAGTCAAGTCAGTTTTTCAAGATTTTCTTGAACTCGCAATATCGCAAAAATACGTATCAAAACCTAGTTAATATAATCCACGCATTAACATGTCCGGAGATTGCTGTTAAATTGCTCTTAGGGACGTTCGAAATTTACGTAACGGAGAATCAGAACTACTGTAAACATAATATAATCCACGCAATATTATGTCCGAAGATTGTCGTGTTATTTTAGAGTAAGAATTTATTTTGACGCAACTACGAGTTACGATGAAAAATTGAAAATAATACTGCAAGTTAAATTTACAGTTTACAAATATAGCAAAAATATCAGATAACTTGCATAACTTACCCGCATAAGTGGAGCAATGTTCCACGCTCCGATAGCTCCCTGTTTAGTAAATTGTCCTAAGGCGGTTTCGAGGAAAAATAATGGAAATCCAATGAAGGCGACACAGAATATGTATGGAAGTAGGAAGGCACCTAGAAAAGAAGAACGAAAATAATTGATTTACTACCGTGGGAAGGTCGCGGAGAAAAAAAGCTCAAATTCTGATTATTTAAATCAAACAAGCGCACTTCTTAGAAGATCTTAAGTTCAAATCTCGCCTAATGTGAGTTCTATTATTGGCTATACGTTTTACGGTCGTTGGAACGCAACCTTTCACTACAGGAAAATCCTTCATGTACTTTACCTTTACGAAATAAGCTATGATCATTTTTGAGTTTTTTCGCGAGTTGGCGCTTTCAAACTGGTTTACGTGTTGTTTTTATTTAAAAAAAACGAAACTATTTGCAAATAAAAAGTACCGACAGCTAATTTCAACTCAGCCTGTTCCAGCTCTTACCAGACAGTTTTTTTTAAACTAGAACCAACCAGATTTTAAATGCCTGCACCAGGTTTCAATTTGCACCAGGGGGGTGCAACCTGTGGCCCGCTATAAAGAATTGTGCCGCCCATGGAGAAGTTTCAATTTTAGATGGTGTGAAAAGAGCCCGTGAAACGAGTTTTAAATTTAGTTCAATCTGGTAGATGCGAGTAACTCTAATCCCTCTACCATGCAAGGCTTATACCAGAGTCCAATTTATATTATCTGTGCTAGCTTGTGAGAAGCGAACAGCGCATGTCATACAATTAATATCCAAATATTTTGTGCCTGAAACCACTAGGAAGCCTATGTTAAATAAAGGTGCGACTCACGGTTTCGCCCAGGTCTTTGTATCTGGCCCTCCAGTATTAAAGGTTGCACACCTCCGATTTACGTCAATAGAAACGTGATTGATAACTCACGAATAGCTGTAACAACTTCTATTCTTGGAAATCTGTGCGATTTCAAAAAAAAGCTGGGCCGCTAAAATTCTGGCTTTTTTTGGTCAACGTTAAGTTATTTCTGAATAACTAATCTCATGATATGTAACAATGAAATAGATAGTAGAAGAAGCATCCATTGTAAGCGAACTTACCACCGCCATACTTGTAGCAAATATAAGGGAACCTCCATAAATTTCCCATTCCAATTATTGCACCGAGTACCGTACAAAAAGACTGAGCTTTGTTACTCCATGTTTCTCTATAACAAACAAACAAAAAACGACAAATTATAAATTGCTGAAGGCCGAAGGAAAAAATTCTTTAAGCAACAACTGATAACTTAAAAGCGGTGCAACATACGTCCCGCGGGCTAATGTACGGCCAGCGAAGCCTATTTACGTGGCAGGTAATAGATTCAGTATCCAACTACTTTTCGTATTTGTAATAGAGATGTACCGATACCACTTTTGTCGCCACCGCTACCGATACTAATAAAGGGACGACAGATAAAAAGCTAAATATACCGGAAATATCGGTATACATTTAGACAAACGAAAAAATGACCGATATTGACGATACATCTCTAATTTGTAACTGTAGCATCGACGTATGTGGCGTTCATTTGATTTGAAGGATTCAGTAGCGGGATAATACTTTATTGGAGTCATGTTGTAATAAAAAAAGTTGATTGATTGTTTGAATATGGAGTGCAAATGTTCAACAGACACACAAAAAGGCGCAATTTTATGAAGTAGAGAATGTCGATCGGTCGTGGATGGATTGCAAACCGACTATTAATTAAGATCGATTGAGACACAATTCTGATAACCCGAAAAAATTTGTCTGACAAAAATTTTGAATTGCGAAGCGAAAAACTATAAAAAGGATATTTCAGGAATGAGAAGAATATTTAAAGCAATAATTGAAAACGCTTAATTCTGGTGGATTTGATATATCAATCCTCCGAAATGTGTCAGAGTAATAGGCAAGGTTATCTTGCGGAAAACAGCTGCAATTTTTGTAGCAGAAAATGGCGATCGGGCCATGTTTTGATTGCAAACAAACTATCGAGATCGAATAATTCGCACCCAACGAAAAATATGTCTGACAGAAAATTTGACTCGCGAAGCCGGGGTGATAAACATTGAGCCACAATAACAAAGTCAACTTCTCAAAGTCAAAGTTCTCTGCTCCAGTTCAAAAGTTAGTTTCCGACGATAGACCTCTGTAATCGAAATTTAAACTCTGACACAAATAGTTAGCCCTGCGACCGTCAGCAAGTCTAGAACGATTTTGAAGAATGCATTTGGATGGAAGAGATCAAAATAAGGGACGCATGTTTACGTTACGGAGAGAGATATACTAATAATTACACAAGTCCGTACCTCCAACGTGAATGTTTACGATTTGTACTGTGTCCAAAATTGCACTTCTTCGAATATTCTTTAGCAATCAAACACCAGACAAAAACGCTAATCCTCACAATCCTGTTTCCCCGAAAATTAAACTGGGTCTCCTCATTTTTGGGGATGTCTTTTGTTTTCATTTACCAAAAACAAAATTACAAAGTAGACAATGACGAGATTTTGAAATATACAAAATATGAAAACCGATATCCATTTACTCATAAATACCACGTTTTCCTCTCTCACACGTTTCAGATTAATACAAACGTGTAGGAGAGATTCCCTCTATCGACTAGGTCCAAATAAAAAATTCGGCTATTGAATATGCTTTATTTTCAGGGTAGGTCTTATTTTCGGGGAAGACTGGCACCATAAACATAAAAGGGAATGAATACTGAATATCATACCTGGTTTGCACACTCATTGTTGCATTTGTGCAAGATTTATTATTTGAAGTGTCCAGATTTATTTTTTTCTCCGATAAAAACGAAGATTCCGGAGAGACATTGTCCATTTCTATGTCGACAGTCATGACTGCAAACTAAATTAACTGCCTAATACCAAAGAATAATAAAATAAAACAAGTCTGTGAAATATGCAAGAATGGGTTACCGTATCTGAAAAGACAAGATCCCTGACAATATTTCAATGAGCCACGTTGACCAATTTTGCAAACAAAACACTAAGATTATGGTATAAATTCGCGATGTATCCAAAAGCGCAAGCTGCCGTCGCTTTCTCGTGAGAATAGAATAAATACAGAACAAAACAACAGGAGCAAAATTGTTGCATTTCACAAATTAAATGCCGGTAGTGCAACCAAAATATCGATTACCAAATGCTGACAATTCAGATCATACGTGATGACATCACAATTATCTGAATGCGACGCAATCCGTATTGCACAACAAAGCGTTCAGGTGACATAATCTGAAAAAATCGATTTCGTGCGCAATATCTGAAAACTCGAGATTTGCAGCAGGTATCCACTGTAATCCCTGACATTTGTTTTAACATTTCTCCCTGACGCAAATTTGACAAGTAAAATCCCGGACATGTCCGGGAAAAACCTGACGTTTGGCAACCCTAACCTAGATAGAAGTGCTAAGCGTTAGCAATACTAATTTAACTATTGACATCGCAACCCTCAACACCCTGAGATATTGCAGGGCTATTTACAAGGGTGAGGATTTATGGAATGCCGTGGGGCGGTTCACTCGGTGACACATTACGGCTACCTTCGACAAATCTACTCGTGAAACAAATAAATATCTAACTAATCACAAATAAATATCTAACTAACCCCATATCCGACATGGTTACCGCACCCACGCCATTATATTGAGCCGTCTTATCGCTTTCCCTCTCCCCTGGGATAAATTGGAAAATCATAAGTGACACAAAATCGCAAAGCATGTCGAAACGTGCTAGTTTAATCCGGCATTTCGAACTCTGTACAAATCATTGATGCGTGACTAATTGGAAAATTAACGCACGAATGTACAAGAGTCTATGCTGGTATTTATACCATTCCATTCTTGTTTACCGGAATTTAAACCTAACCAAGGAAAAATAGATCAGTTTATTAGGTAATGAGAGAGTATTTTCCATTCTATCAATTTGAACAGTTTTTTTTACCTTGGGCAATGGATTGCATTCGCATTTTACTTTTTAATCTATCATTGTTAAAATCAGTGAATGTATATAACGTGTTGTCTCGCTAGAAACTACGAGTAATAACAGTGTCCTCCTATCAAGTAAATGAACTCCACAAAGAAAATACCGTCACTAAGTGAACTGTGTTCGCTCTGGATTTCTCAACTTCATTTAATGATAAAGTTTCTCTTCCTAACTGTCACATAGCAAGCGAGCTGTACTTTGATCCCGTAAGCTTTTAAGCGACACTTGTAGGCATTCCGCAGAGTGAAACTCAATCTTATGTTTATACTACCTTCCAATCGATAACAATTCGCCAAAAATGTCGTAAATTTAACTGTTGAATGCTTTCTACATGAATCCTATTTCCCTACCTAAATATGCCTGAGCCCAAGGAGAGATGCAAAGTGACAATTTCAATTTGTAGACCAAAACGGTAAAAAAAGAAAATTGATTTCTACCGGAATAGGTTTAAAATATATTTACGATTTTTGTAATATTGTAACGTATCCCGTTTTACTTTTGGGCGCTGCGCTAGACATAGCTCTTATACTCCGCCTACGAAACGCCCATTTCCTTGACGACAAATAAAAAGCATCACATTTTCACAGCCTCTCACATTCTGCCTGTAAAGCAATTGGATCTGTGTTTTTTTATATTTATTCGGTAAAAGGGGAAAGCCCATAAAACGTATTACGGTTACCAGTCCATGTCAGGTAACTAATCTCATATCCGAAACGGACGAGAGGCCGTTGTATGCTGTATGACGTTCTCAAAATTACTGCGGTAAAGATCAAACGGTCCTTATCTTATCTGAATGCAATTAATCAAATTATCGCGAGTGTTTTGTAATCCAAAATGACGGTTTTGGTAAGATGGATAGATTGCGAGGGTAAATGAAGCGAAAACATGCCAAGTCGCAGCACGACCCTACACGAGCTTAAATAACAGTAGGGTAGCGTAGTCTCCTAGTTCCGTGCGTATATGTATGTATGATATTTTGACGCTAGCTGTTTGAACGACAAGAAGAACAAACGGCGCTCCCCATGCAGACATGTATGTGTACCAGTATGAAGGTAACTAATTTTGTTCGCCTATTTTACATCAAGTTCTGTAAAGGGACTGAAACTTATGGGCAGGGGTATATTCACTTGGCACATACAGTCGCCGAACTCGTAATAGAACTAAAATTAAGGAAAATCGGAATAAAAATTATGGCCTAACCCTAACCAGGTACAGAGGTACACATACTACGGCAGTAACGAACAAACTACGAAAGCATGTCTTGAAATTCGGTTTCTACAAGCTAACGGCGTAAGAACATAAGCTAACGGAGTAGGTAATGACAGAATGACATAAGCTAATTCGATATCGGAGTAACCAGTCCACCAAGCTGCTAAACTGCTGTACATCATAACAAAAATGAACGATGTGACTTGTATTTAATTTGCTGTTAACACCTCACGAAAACTTAATGATTTAGGCAGACTACAAATTACATCAATTCATACCAATACTCAACAACTGCAGGCCTAATTTCTAATTTATACGACAAAACGCATGCCCTATCGTACCGGTATGTCATTCAAAACTCTGTTGTATGACTGATAAGCATACGCGGCACACACACACACGTGTTTGCTTTATTACGCAGCCTTCGTACACGGACTTTGTACCGTACTCATCAAAAGAAAATTTTTATGAATGGAGGGACTCCGTTTGTGGCGTAATTTTCTACATATTATTTACTAATTTCCTTATTTTAAGCGTTGGAAGGGTCCTTTTGGCGGAGGCTTTATATGAAAGATCCCATCAGAGTATATTGGCTTCTCATGAGGTTCGATTATTATGTTTACACTAATTTCAAGCAACGAGTGTATTGCATTAAATAAGATAACTTGGAATGGCTGTCCAGGAATACTTATTAATCTATTTTCTGAAGAGTTGTAACCAGTGGTGGTATTAAACTCCTATCCAACCAACCTACGTCACCCCTCCAAAAAATAGGCTTTAGTGTTATTTCGAAAGAAAATTGAAATAAGACATTGTTTTATTTTCTGGGAAACACGGTATATACATTATGAAATTTTTTTTTGGTCAAACCAAACTCGTTGTTAAAAATGCCCTGATATACAGCGTAAGCGTTCTAGCATTTTCTCCTAGACGTTAGACGACCACAGCAAATAAGGTGACGTGAACTTAATTAACAACTACCGTGTTTCCCTAAAATGAAAATGCAGAGCCTTTTTTCAATTTTTTTTTATAAAATATAACACTAGGGCTTATTGTGTGTGGGGGGTGTCTTTTATTATCATTTATCAAAAATAAAATTACGAAGTAGGAGAGATTTCTTGCTAACAAAATTCGCCCTGTCGGTCCTATTTTAGGGGAGGACTTATATTAAAAACATTTCTAAAATTCAGGCTAGGTCTTATTTTCAGGAAAACACGGTATAGCGTTATATTATGCGTTTCTAAACTCGTGTGCTAGAATTGTGTAAGCTCATCATGTCAATGTAGCTTACGCGGCAACATATATATATATTCTGAAATAATGGAACCTATTTTTAGTTCGTTCGATACAAAAAAAAACGTTCTTAAAATTCTGAATCCAGGCACTGATACAAAAGAAAGTATTTCTGGCGTCGAAGCAAACCCAACCCCAAATCAACAGCACTCTGATTTTACTCTGTGTGGCGCCACTTTTATTTCATTTTTCTGCTATTTTTCTGAATAAATTTAAGACATTAAAAAAAACTTTGATTTCGGTCGTCTTGGTCGGTCCGATGTTTAGTACATTCGTACGTCTTCAGATGTGAAATGATTCGTCAGAAGTTTCCACTCCAGCGCGTTGGTAATCGGCCATGAAACTCTTGAAGTCCTCTGTGTATTAAAATGGAAATATCATGAGTGGAGGACTCAGAGAAAGTGAATGAAATCTAGATTTGTTATTAATTTTGACAAGTTGCGGTTTTTGCAAGATTGACATAGAAATGTTTAAATTAGTCACGTTAGTTACTCTATCCGAGGCCCGCGAATCAAAACATGACTTGTAGGATGTGTTAGGATTTACATTATTACCCCTGTGCTCCCCAAGTAATTGTACCAAGATGGCGCACAACCTGAATATAGTATTGGACCGGGTTAGGGTTGTTCAGGTTGTGCGTCATTTTGATACAAATACTTTCGGAGCGCCATTATCCCCGCTAAAAGAAAAGAGCATAAGACGGCCTAATTATATGGCCAACAAGGGACTTTGTCCAGGTACCAGTCCATGTCCGGTATGGGATTAGTTGGGCAAATATTTAGTTCCAGGTGTATGGACTTGATGGTGGAGGAAGACGTAACAGTTCAGTGGATACGTAAACCACCCTTCGGTGGAGAGGAGTCCAGCAATCCTCTTGCACATAATTATGTCCCTCAAGATAATCAGAGTTATGATAACAAGCGCTTGGCACGATGCGCCACAACGCCGAGTAACGTTTATACGAATTTCAGAGGCTATGGTTGTGGAACACTATAAAAGTAACAAAAATAGTCTTCTCAAAACTAAACTAAAAGGAAAATTTACCGTGAGTCATTGCAGTTATATGGTCAAGGATTTCGGTGATCTGTTGAGCGTCCTCGAAGCCATTCTCAGATAATTCGTCTGCAATGTTGGAAATCATTTCCCTGTATTTTGTTTCGTCCTGGAACAGAATATAATCAGTTTTAATGGTCGCCGTAAAGTTATCGGGCCAAGATTAAAATCAAGTTTTAATTTAGCACAAAATCGATGAATAATAAAGTCGAAATATTTATATTAACACCATAAGAGTGAAATAACCTTAAAATAGCTTTGTTGGAAGTAGTAGATAAATCGAAGATTTCTATGTAATACATTTCAAATTCAGTAAATAGTATTGGGAATAAATATTCACATATTTTTATCGCCACATTTGTCAAGCAAATTATGGCATGAATTATCTGTGTTTCATGAAACCAAAACGAGCGCATTTAAAAGTTTCAATCCTACCAATACTATTCTTAAAATAAATGAAATTAGTCTTGTTAAATCCGATGCCCCCTGGGCCAGGGACTTACCCACGGACTTGCGGGTCGCCCGCACCCATTTTCAAATGTAAAGATCATTTGTATCGTACATGGTTATATATTACCTTCATTCTCATTTCCCTCAGGAACTCCAAAGATGTGTCTTCTTTCAAGTACTCCTTACTGTAATAACATAAAGAATATGTTAATTGAAGGGCACGAAGCCAACCGATATATCGTTTTTCTATTATGTTGTTGCTGTCAGAATTTATTTTTATGTTGTGAGAAAAAAAAGCGCTTTTACTCTTAATTTATGGGTAGAGCGGTTCAGAGCAAAATTTCGAATCGCCGCCATTTTTTTTCTTTTTGCCAATGGTCGAGGTAAATTTCTCAATTTTTTTTAGTGAAGACATATTTTTTGAACGCAATTCTGACATATGACTCTTTTCTGTAGTGAGATATTGACGAAAACGCGTTTTTTATTTTGTATGAACGCTCAGCAATCTGCATTGGTGATGTATTCTATGTTTCCAGTAATTCATGTGTCTGGGGGACCTAATACAATAAGAAAGTTACAAACAATTTTATATTTTCAAAGTATATTCGATTAGAAAAAAGTCAAGTAGAAGTTGTGAAAACTTAGTTAGCTACTGTACCGGTACGGCGAAAGGTTTGATACTCGTACTACTCCGTTTTGTCCTTTGTGTCCATATATTTGAGCATTGTTCACTTGTTTATAGTCGTTGTTATTTTAATGATTCATATACAATAGCAGGGCTATGACCAATGTAGAACAAAAAGTCAAATATATGAAAACAGAAGGACGAAGAAAATTAAAAATAAATATATAAAAGTGGAACCTTCCAAGCAAAAATTCGGCGCTCCGAAGTCTGTTTACCAACGTGGAATTAACTAATTTTGTTCGCCTACTTTACATTGAGTTGTGAAAAGGGTCTGATACTTATGTACAGGGGGTATATTCACTTCGCTAACACAGACAGTCCACGAACTCGTAATAGAACTAAAATAAAATAAATCGGAAAAAAATTATGGTACTACGGGAGTACCAAAAATACAACTAGAAATTTGAAAACAATAGTTATTGCAATAGTGGTACAATAGTTAACAAGAAAATATAACAAGGAAAAGAACGTGAAAAACTATAACATAATAACAATACGATCCAGATGTAAACTTCGTGCCTAACGAACCAACCTGTTAGATATGTTTGTAAAATTTCTGGTTGTAACTTACCATACAGATCTTGCTACAAACTTTGCCGTTTTTTTTAATTGGTTCAACAAAAATTGTCTCCAACTTGCCTCGGAGCGATCAACAGATGACAGAAACATAAAGACGACAAGTATGAGAGCAATTTTACTGTTCATGTTGTTGGCGGCTGAATAATAAACAAAAAATATATTCATCTTGTTTCGTCATTAATTTGAGATATTTCTTGTCAAAATTTCGCCGTTAGATAGTGATGGCGTCGTTGAGAACAAGGCATTGACTAAGAGCAGGGCTGTGAAACCTTTGATAAAGGAGGACCACATTCAAATAACTGGGAGAAACCGCGAGCATCCAAAAGTTTTGGTTATGGATCTTACAACATGCGTGGTTCGCTTCGCACAGGCTATTTGTGAGGTCAGTGTAACGTATTGGGATTACTCGCAAGACCCAGATTAAACTAAATTAAAAACTCGTTCCGCGGTATCGGGGCTTTTACACGCAGTGGCAGTGGAATAAAAAGTTCCAAAATAAGCGTAGGAGGAATCTATCGAAAATGGTTGGGGAACACTATGATCACTAATTTAAAAATGATTGGGGAACACTGTGGTAAAGGTTCTCCTGAGAAATTGTGGCAATGGAATTTTTCAGTGGTATTGAATGAAATTCGTTGTACAATTTCGGATTCTGGAATTGGAGCGATCGTTTTATTGAAGTTGAAGTTTGTAAAATCTTCAGTTTGCTATGCTACTTTGTCGTATGTTTCCATGGTCTTATTTATTCAAATTTTCTCATGTAAAAATGATTCTAAAACAGTAATAAACGACGCTTGTAACAAACAAAAAACAAAGAATTCTTAAAATCTTTAAGAACAACTGCTTTTGTTTTGAAAAAGGAAACAGTTTATCCGACGGATCGCGATAAAAAATCGAGTAATTTATTTGGTCGTTGAAAATTTGAGTAAACTGAATTTTATGTTTAAGAAATGTGCATATAGATTAAACAAATGTTAAATTTTGAGGCATTTAAGGCATGTTTACATTTTTATCAACCAGATATGAAGAAACAAAAATATTTAAGGATTATCGTACAAGTATTATTTAATAAAGCAAATTTAATTTAATTTTCGGTGCCACCTTGGTATCCTCCTTGCTTAACGCAATTGTGGGGGCAGTTTGGTACGCGTTTGATTTGATAAAGACATTTTCATAAAATTCAGTTCCTAACCCTGCCATCGTTGGATTAGGGTTAGATTAATAATAGAATCACTGAGATCACCCAACCGCTCAGATCGGGTGCGTGCAATCTGCAGCCCGTGGGCCAAGTGCAGCTCACAGGGAAAAATTGTATACGGCCCGTGGAGAAGTTACAATTTTTGGATGATGTGCGGCCCGTGAAAAATCTCATTTTAATCTGGCAATGATACAATGATTTTTTATATCTGCAACTACTAGAAAGCTTATCTTTAAACAAATTGTGGCCCGCGGTTTCTTTCAGTTATTTGTATCTGGCCCTCATTAAAGGTTGCACACTCTTGGCTTAGATCACACACCAAAGAAGCACCCGATTTTCTCACCCATCGTAGAAAGCAAAAAGCAATGAAGTCACTCACCTTTGAGTCTTTTATTCGATTTCTTGAATTTGTTTTTCGATGTGGTAGCAATGATACAAAACCCGGCATTTTATGGATTTTCTGCCGGAAAATCATGAAAGCATTCTTTAATTGTGATGTAACGCTTTTCAATGGTAGACTCAGGCGCCAAATCCATTGTTATATTGAATTAATTCTTACGTAACTATTCTAATATTGTTACATAACAGTTACATATGTTCAATCGTTCTATACAGTCTCAAACGAGGTGCAATATGGAATTAAAATTGAATAAGATATTGTTGAATACAGTAAAAGTGTTGTTCAATATATCTACTATTCAATGCAATATGTGACAATGATTTACAAAAACTCCGTTACCATTGAAATAAATTTTACCGGAAAACGTGAAGATATTCATTATAACACATAAGAATAGGGTGAAATTCAATCAAATATTTTATTAGGCACCATGTCTTATTGTACCTGAGAACGTCGACAAATAGATGAATAGCATTAAATTAACATATGTAGCACTTCAATTAGCATTGAAAGCATTTTTTTGGCTGTCTATTCGCCTACACAATTACAATAGGCCTATGAGATAATTTCAATTGTAAGTGAGACTATAGTATTCAAATGAAATGTGTTACATATGGAAAATATACAATAAGAAATATTCCTATCGTCGGAAATTTTGAATTTGGCACACAATAATGAGATTTCGAAAATAACAGTTTTAAAGGGGGGGGGGGGGGGGGGGGGGACGTTGAGGGGGTAACATTAACCAATGGTTCTCAATCGTTGGGGCGAAAACAATTTTTTGAAAAGGGGGGGAAAGCTAATTAAAAATATTTGTTAGGTTTGATCTTATCTTTAAAAAAATTGTGGCCCGCGGTTTCTTTCAGTTATTTGTATCTGGCCCTCATTAAAGGTTGCACACTCTTGGCTCAGATCACACACCAAAGAAGCACCCGATTTTCTCACCCATCGTAGAAAGCAAAAAGCAATGAAGTCACTCACCTTTGAGTCTTTTATTCGATTTCTTGAATTTGTTTTTTGATGTGGTAGCAATGATACAAAACCCGGCATTTATGGCATTTTATGAACCTTTGACTCACCTTTGAGACAATCCATAGACAAATCTTTCCCACGTCACGCGCTTTATGTTAGGCGAATAGACCCATTCCAACCCACAAGACCTAAAGACACATCGCTATAACTCACGTTATCTTTATTGTGCGAATCTGTGCAAAAATAAATTAGTAAGCAACAGTAAATTCTATTGATGAAAATTTTGATTAAATAAGTATGACACACAGTCTTATTTTTCACAATAAAAATATAAATTGGTGCCATTCAAGGTTTGGCATCCGGTTCCATTACATTTGAACCCACGTACATTTGAACCCATGACAATTGCACCTGCATACTATTGCATTGGAAATTTTGTTGTTGTACGGATAGTTGAACCCATACTAACCCTAACGCATGGGTTTCAGCACCCGCATATTGATTGAACCCACGGATATAGACATGGGTTCAAGATGTACGTGGGTTCAAATGTACGGTCACCTTGGCATCCATTTCCTATAGCCAGCCATATTCCGAAGCAGAGCTCCTAACTCTGGTTTTCTTGGCCCGGAATTGAATTTTTGTCTACACAGGTTACCTTCCTTCTGGATCACACTAATTATCACAATCATCTTTCAGCATTTTTACTCTCATTTTATAACTCTTTCCCGCTTAATCTAGGCAATTAGCTTTCGTAGCCGCGGCAAGCTCGCGTTAGCGCTGAAATTCGAAATATTTGAATTTTCCGTTTGTCGCCTCAGCCTGCCTCGAAAATCAGAGTTCGGACTTTGCACAGACTGTTACAATAAAGTTAACGTGGGTTATAGCGATGTGTCTTTAGAACTTGTGGGTTGAAGTGGGTCCATTCGGTCAACATAAAGCGTGTGACGCAAAAAAGAGTTGACTTGGGTAAGCTGTTCATCTTTTCATCAATGTTTTTTGAAACATTGCGCCAAGTCGTTGTCATCGATTTAATGACATATTCAGAATGGAAGTTTCTCAAATCCTTGTTTATATTTTCTCTCCCATATTTAGAAACATCAAAAGACAATGCAGGTAATATATTCCACTTCGATAGTTTTAATAATTATATTTTGTACACAATATTTAGCTCCCGCGCAATGGCAAAAAACTGACGGCCGTCGAGTCAAAAAGAAGGATTGATTAGATTTCAAAGATATAAAAGAAAAATTTTGATCAGAAATACATACGCCCTTCATCATTGCTAAACAAATATCCTAAAAATATTACCATTCTTGTATTATATTGAAAACGTTATACATTGATTTCATAAATAAATTGTTGTTGATTGACATTTGTTGCTTTTATATCATTTTTTCCGAGACGCAAATCTGTGTGTTGGGATATATTATTGGGGGCTGGCATTCCAACCGTTACCCCCTTGGCCTTAACGCTCCCTTTAAAACTGTTATTGCTGATATTTTCCAAATCTCATTATTGTGCCAAATTCAACTTTTCCGACGATAGAAATATTTCTTATTTGTGTATTTTCCATATGTAACAAATTTCATTTGTATACTGTAGTGTCACTTTTAATTCAAATAATCAGGTATATAGATTGTGTTGCCGCATAGATAGACAAAGAAAATGCTTTCAATATGCTTTGGCATCTAATTGAAATCCTACATATGTTAATTTAATGCTATTCATCTATTTGTCGACGTTCTCAGGTACAATAAGACATGGTGCCTGATAAAATTTCCATTTGAACATGATTTCAACAATATCTTATTACATTTGTATCGCATATTGCACCTCGTTTCAAACTGAATAGAACGATTATACATATGTATCTGTTATGTAACAATAGTAGAATAGTTACGTAAGAATTAATTTAATATAACAATGGATTTGGCGCCTTATTCTGCCATTGAAACGCATCAATGAGAATTTACTGTCACTTACTAATTGTTTTTTGCACAAACTTTGATTAAATAGTGATGACACACAGTCCTATTTTTCACAATAAAAATAGAATTTGGTGCCATTCAAGGTTTGACATCTCTTTACTATAGCCAGGCATATTCCGAAGCAGAGCTCCTAACTCTGATTTTCGTGGCCTTGGAATTGGATTTTTGTTTTCACGGGAGGAAGATTTTGTTTCATTATTCGTCAACCAGAAAAAAAGCATTGTAACAATAATGAAAATATATAACAACATACGCAAAGTTATTCGGTATAGATTGGGGAGAGCGATACTTTCATCATAGTCAGCTCCCCCATCGGGTCGGTTTCACAATAAAAATATAATTTATCGCGCATTCAAAAGGTTCACCATTCCTTTACTATAACATCCAGCCATATTCCGAAGCAGAGCTTCTAATTCTGATTTTCGTGACCTCGGAATTGAATTTGTGTTTTAACAGGTTGGTCCCTCTTGGTTCACGCTAATCATCACAATCATATTTTAGCATATTTACCCTCATTTTATAACTCTTTCCCGCTTAATCGAGGCAATTAGCTTTCGTAGCCGCCACAAGCTCGCGTTAGCGCCACGATGTCATTGAAATGAACAATAATTCCGAAATCCTTAGCAATATTGTTCGTCACTTCACCCTGTTTCAAATCCACTTATTGTGTTATTAAAATTGCTAAGAATAAGACAAGGTGCTAAAAAGTTTTTTCGCTTTATGTTAACCGAATGGACGCAAATCATACAACAAGTCGCTATGACCCACGTTCTCTTTATCGTATCAGTCTGTTAGAACAGTGATTGTCAACCGGTGTTCCGCGAAAATTTGCTTTTTTGATGGAATATTATGTCATAACTGAAATTCAAGCAGCCGATGAACTTATACAAATTACACAAGGCTGCGGGTTGATGTACTCCTAGAAACTTTCTGGATTGGGGGGTCCAGGAAATTTCCAATTCTTGCTAAAAGCGCTTTCAATCTTGCTACTATTCTTCACTACCTATCCTTGCGAAATGAGCTTTTTGAACATGATCGACCTAGGGCTGGACAAAATAATCGAATAGCGAATGGAAAATTAAAATATTCGAATGATATTTTACTATTCGTATATCCGATACCACGCGACCTGTACCGCTCTGCTTGGCACGAAACTCGCGCGCCGGTAAATTGATCGCTTGGATTTTGCAAAAAGTGCGCCGACAACATTTCGTTAATGTAGAAACGTCAATTCAAATAAGCTATTTAGATTTTAGAATAACGTTCTTGGACTTAAGATGTTAATAATCATTCCACGCATGATCGGGATATAAAAATTATTATCGGAAATTAAGATTTACGAAGACGTTTTCAATACGTTTCTTGACGTTTTCGTTCAAGGTGTGCTCTTTATCGTCAACTTGCCTAACGGTCACTTAGAAATGCCCTTATTCCAGATTTTAAATCACCATTTAAGATTCACGCAATCACGGCTTTGCACTTTGGGTCTGGGACGTTAGATTTGCGAACGATGAAAAGTTAGATTAAAGCCGATGCAAATGATAAAAATCAGAATAAAATTAATTTGGGCTTTGAAATCACCCTTTAACTTTCATTAACATCTGTCGCCGATGTGATAGCATAGTTATACAATTAATATGAAACTTTGATCTCCGCCGACCTACAAGAATTGATAATTGCGCACAGGAACAAAAAGCGGAAAAATAAAAACGTACAGGGGACTAAAAATGTTCGATTATGACGAAATTAACCAGTAAAAATCGCTTTGTTGCCGATTTTCAATTTTTCTATTGATTTCTAAACCGACCTCCGACTTTCTGGAATCATGTTGTGTGTAAAAAATATTGTTATTGGACTATTCGGTATTCGTTAGAAATATTCGAATTATTTAAGTCGAAAAAAGATTTGATTTTACCCAGCACTTTATTGGCCACTATAAAAGTTGAAAAAGGGGGAAAATAAAGAGCCGTTGAAAAAAAGCTGCGTGTTTGTGTCACTTCAATTCCAGTCAAAATCAAATATTTAAAACTCATCGTAACAGCCCCAAATATCACACTAAAATACCATTCCTGTTTCTAGCTTATTATAGTATGCATAAAACAAAAACTCGCAAAAACATTTATGTGTACCATACTTTAGCTCTTGTAGCTCTGGATCGGAACGTGTCACGTCTTTTCCAGCTAAAGAGAGGTTATATTATCAATTTCGTTATTTTATTTTCATGTCGAAATGATCGATGTCAGTTAATTACATAATATAGTTTAATAACAAAAATCTCATTTGGTGTTCCGCCATAATTTTAGACTATAAAAGGGTTCCGCGGTACAAAAAAGGTTGAAAATCACTGTGTTAGAAAATCAAAGAGTAAAAAGCTGCAAATGCACACCTTGATCGAATATGTATGTCCCACGCCCCCACATTTTTTTTTCACAATAAAACTATAATTTATCGTCCATTCATTAAAAGGTTCGACATCCCTTTACTATAACACCAAGTCATATTCCGAAGCAGAGCTCCTAACTCTGATTTTCGTGGCCTCAAATTTTTTGTTTTAACAGAACGGTTTCCTCTTGGCTCACACTGATCATCGAGACAGTCAGCTTTCGTAGCCGCCACAAGCTCGCGTTAGCGCCGCGATGCTTTAGAAATGGACAATAATTCCGAAATATTTAGCAATTTCCGTTCGTCACCTCAGCCTGTCACGAAAATCAGAGTTAGAAGCTCTGCTTTTTATCTCGCCTCGCTTTTGCTTACTAATTGATTTTTGCACAGACTAGTACAATAAAGATAACGTGGGTCATAGCCAGGAACGTGCCAAACTTTCTTCTGTCCGGGGCGAGTTTCTGATAATTCTGCCCCTTATCCCCAACTTAAAAAATAATTCCATTTCATATGTTTGATATACCAGCCTGTGCAAAATCTGATTACAGTAAGTTCCTCATTGATGCAAACTTCGATGTATGTATGACCCCTAGTCTTGTTTTTCACAATAAAAACAGAATTTTTGACCAATTCATTGAAAGGTTCGTCATCTATGTGCTATAACATCCATCCATAATCA